TGGAAATTGGGAGACAAAAACACGCTCGGAATATGTTTTTTTTCGAGCAGATTGTCAAGAGTCTTTAATCGCTCTTAGTTATGTCAGGAAGACTTTAAATAGTCATTTCCAATGAGATCAGCCCGTTTTACGAGAACTTCAGAACTCGTTCCTTTTCAAAATAACCCCCTCACTGCTTTTGATCAAAGGTCTGTTACTTTCACCGTTCAAGCTCTTTGCTTGTATGAACGAGTTTCCAATCTATAAAATCGTTAGTCCCGTAAGCGTCGTTTTTTTGCAGACGATGTGGCAATTTAAAGTGACGCTGCAAACGCCCGTTGTATTGATGTACAAGGACTGTAGTCTTTGATAACGCGACAAAGACATTTTTCCATTGTTACTAACATTGATAATTTATAAAAAGAAAAGTTTTATTTTTCTCAACGAAAAGGTACAACTTAGTTTTTAAACGACCAACCATGTTTTTCTTCTTTAGCGGAGATATTCTTTCTTGAATGCAATCATTCGATTTCGTCCATCTCTCGTATCTGAAATCAAATATGTGAATATATTATTCATTTCTCCATATAACGCACTCAATATGAAGACAATCTACCTCTTTGGGGACTAACGATCACGGTTGTCAGTTTAGAATCGTTCGCTGGCAACCTCCAAAGCTGTTTAAGACATTTCAGACGAGAAGACATTTTGAAAGCATGACATTCTGTCTTGATCTATTGAAGAGATCTGACCTGCATGCCACGAATTCCAACTGTTTCTTGTATTATAGGAGAGTAGCATACAGGGGACTCAAATGTCGTGACAATACATCACTATAAAGCCCATCAATGGTTTATGTTCGTGGTTTGTAATGATAGATTTACACGTTGGTTTTTAAGGACAGCCAACAGAGGTTCTTTGTATCGAAATTAAGATGCCTGCCAATCTTGACAACACGACAAACTCGTATATGCCAGATTTACAGCCTGGTAGGTATTTACATAACATAGTAATCAGTGCCTTTTAAAAATATCCTGTCAAAGACGACAGTGTTTCACAGATGGGGAGAAAAAAACACTGTTAAAACGAATGAATGTTTACTCTTGGTAATCAGTCAAGTGAGATTGTTGAGGGAAGAAGGAAGTGTAGCACATTAGCGTTATCTTGGTTGTACATAAGCCAGCGTAATGCCTCGTTATTAGATATTAGCTGCTTCGCGAGATCGGTTATACATTATGTAAGGCTCTCGCCCACCAGTAGATCATATATTGCATCAATCCGCGTCTCGGAAATGATATTAACTCAACTTACTGCCTTTCCGCAAGAGATTTATTTGGAAGGTAAATACAATCTTGGCCTGTTAAACACTCCACATTTTTCTGGAGCGCCCGGGGATAAACAAGGCAATGCTTTGTATTTTACTCCGCGTTTAGCTTGGAATGGTCTCGCTAAGCTAAGTCAGTCCTGAAGCCGATCGTGTACATACGGCGGCAGCAGAACCAGCGAGTCTGTTGACTTCCAGCTTCAGGTACACACGCCGGTCTGGTGGGAAAGCCCCGTCCCACAGTTTCTCGTTACGGCGAACCACACATTCAAGTCCGTTAAGTCAACTCCGGGCAGGGATTTCAGTCATTATAACTATAGTCGTACAGGCTATTATGTGTTGGAAGCGGATATACGTATTCCTTTTGTTTGGAGTTGGACGTCTTTACCATTCTTCGTTTTGACTGATTCCACAAAGGGTTATGTATCGTCACGCGGAGTGTATGTTCTTTCGATAAAGTGTAAACTGTTTCACAAACATCGAGTTTGTCATGGTGACTAAAGCTTGGCGTTGTAATCTGTAAACCCCGGTGATAGCAATCAGAATATCGCAAGCGACCCACTACACTATGACGACGTTGCGTGTAGGATCAATATTGAGACTCCGAATCCAACGGTATCTAACTGGTCAGTGATGCGTCTTGGACATTTAGGTCTGGTCACTCGGTCAGCCCCCCTTTGATTGTGGCGCTAATCCGGCGTTGAATAAGTTGACTTTGTTAAGTAGTTGTAAAGATAACATTTTCGATAATTTCGAGTTGACTTTGGGGATTATGAGGTGACGTTCGTGGAATATGTTCTGACAGTTGGCACGTTCTCTAGGTGATATAGATAAGGACTGAGAAGCTCTGTCAGACAAGTAAGGCCACCTGGCCTGAGTGTGTCATTCAGCAAGTGACCACGGATCAGTATGGATGACTTTATGAAGTGCTATCCGTCAGTCGACTCATTATATGTTCTTTGGAAGAGCGTGTCTCGACCACGTGTGTTAAATGTAAGTTACCTTTCTTTATTCGAATCATGTAACAAATGTTGACAAATGTTAACATCACATGCCGTTTTTTGTTGAATTATACTGATTTAATATAACTTGACGTGATATTGTACACTTTACAGATACATGTAGTTGTATCTTTTTACGTTTGTAAGTCGGCCACATATACTTGGCATTTTCTCATTCCACATTGGCAGCAGATCGTTTGAGTAACCCTGGTAACATATTGGTTTCCACTCGTTCTGACAATCTTGTAGAACATACGTTAAGGTCGATATATTTTCGGGAAGAAATGTCAATATTTTCTATACAATATTCATGAAATATATTCCAGGCAATGAGTTGAGTTATTAAATTCTACGTAAAGGATGATTAATCGCAGCTATCATCTGATTGGAAAAAAATACACTTTACCAATTAGGCCCCCGCGTCTGTCTGCAGAGACAGTAATATATCCCCGGAAAATGCTCTATATCTACCAGTACATTTTCGTGACTGTTTTCAAAGAACGAGGCTAAGGTTACAGAACAGTTCCAGCGATAGTCTAAAAGCCATCTCGGAAAGTGTTCCATAATGATTCCTAGCATATATTCAGCTTTCCACCAATAAACCACTTTAAGAATAGATATTACCACAATATGTTTTGCCCAAGAAACCCAGTCTCGGCTCTCGTTCTCTCTATAACGGTAGTTCTACCGTTGTACGGTTCCTATTGATTTCCTCCTTCTGTATGCATTCTCAACGACAGAGCGAATTTATTGAGAAGTGATTTTCGGAAAGGTATACTGGTCAGAACAATGTTTCTTTGGATGCAGAAGGAAAGCATAATTATTGCCATGGATATTATAATTATTCATAGACAGAAATAGCGGTCAACCCGGTTCATACAATTTCGCGGTTATGATAAAACTTTCATTGCTATAAAAGAATGGAACCATTTTCCTGATAAACGTAAACCATTTTTATCATCATAACTATGCTAATACGTAATACATAGTCTGGAAATCAGCAATGTCTTAACCTCAATGTTTGGGGAAGAAATATTTAAAGTCCCAAAGGAATCGTGTTCTTAAGATCTTTTAATTCATCCGTTTTTCATCTTACACTCCGATTTATAGGCTGACGGAGCTATTTCTTTGTGCTTTGATCAGGTCTTGATTACTTGAATTCTGAAAATATTTTTTGGGCTTGAATTTCATTTTCTGCCATAGGCCTTCATTATACATGCTTTAAAAACTCTTAACGTGGTGTATAGCAGCACTAGTATCTGTATGTTGTTTTCTCAGGCCTCGCCGTTTTTGGCTGGAGGGGCCTCTTTGAAATTCTTCTAATGAGACTTGAAGCCAATACTTTGCTTCAATGGTATTTCTCAGGTTTGTAGAGCTAACTTGAAAGCCACTGCTTTGAAACACTTCAGCTTTCCAACAAGGCGTTCGTTGTTGTTACTTCAGCTTGAAATACGTTTTGATAGGCCAATTATATAAAAACGACGAATAAGCGAATGAAAAAAACAAAAACAGGACGAAATGGTAACTGGATATGACGTCCACTGCTTGGGTTATTCTGATGCGAAAATGTGTTCATCAAAGGCTGTTTTCACGTGTGAAATACCCTCAATTCCAAGCACACCGTTACCACATGCATGGTCATTTCGTTACATGCTTCCAAGCAGTAAAGAAGCATGATCGTAGCAGGTCTATCTCGTTGGGTGAATTTAATCAGGTTTTATTAAGACACGGAACGATTTGCATGAAGCAGTTTGCTTCGTAACACAATACCATCTTGTCAGTAAGAGGAGGCACCATGTCGTCTCAGCTGCTCTTAAGATGATCTTTTGTCTCTAACAATAGGATTTCGACACCACTAAATGTTTCTATTGATTTAACAACGAAACCCCATCTCCTTGCAAACACTGTCTTACTGCGGTGCCAACGTACAATGTCCTTATGCCACAGTGTATTGTTTCATTATGGAATAACCATCTCAGCTCGTTAAGCAATCAATCTCCCCTACAGGGGAACCCGAATTAGTTGCCTAGTGTTCTCGGGGCTCCTTGCGCCGACGGTGTTGGTAGAGCTGTACAAAAGGTCGTAAGACGAAGACAAACGACGTGCACGGTACGCTGAAAGAGGGTTGTAACTTAACACTCTTTGACAAAATTTCATGGACACGTAATAATCCATTTTTGGCCGGTATTGTAATCAAACACAGAGTAACAGATAGCGAACAAAGGCTTTTTAAAGAATATCGGTCTTCATTCAGACATGTAAAAGGTATTTGGGGCAATCTCGTTTGAACGTGCAGTTTATTTATTTCGCTAGGGAATATGTGAGAGAAGGGCGGCTGTCTCAAAGGGAGCTACTGAGCATTTGTTGCCCAATTATTCATACCTTACTGGGACAATAGCATTATTCCAACCCCGTTGGAGATAAATATCCGTTAGAATATGCATGCACTGCACCTAAAAGACCAAGAGGATCGGGATGTATGTACACCCAGGTTCTGAAATTGAACTTTAATGATTTCATCTTTTTTTGAAGAGATCGAGATTCATTATTCTGGTTCCCTGTATTTGTTCTTTCTGAACTTTGACCTTGTGATTTGAATAAAATAAGGCAAACCATAGCAGAAGGCACGTTTCCTTGAATACGATTCTTTGCATTCAAAGTGGCATTTCCAATTATCTATGATTCTTTTCTTCCAGGATTCTGTGAGACGTGTCCTGTGATGAAATCTTCGAGGAGTGGACAAAGGAGGTGACGCAGAAGAAGCGATCAGTGTCAGCAATGGAAGCCATCTTTCTTGCAACCATGATGGCGGCCATCTCCGTCCAATTGTCGTCTGCTGATCAATTGACAATTCATTTCCGTTTGAAGGAAAACGTGCCTGTTGCTACCTACGTAGGGAGTGTTGCGGAAGACAGCGGCATTATCAAAGCAGTGTCACAAAGCGAGTTTCAGACACTAAGATACAATTTTCTAAACCCAAACGATCTAAAGACAACGTCCTATTTTAGCATCAACGCGGAGACGGGGGCGATATATACAGCCGCGATGATTGACAGAGATTCTCGTGTTGTGTGTTCCTTTTCGTATGACTGTACAATAGTGTTTGACGTCACAGTGAGGTCAACCAGAACGTCATACTTTGAGATTGTCACGGCCAAGGTCACGGTGGAAGACGTTAACGACAACGCACCCAAATTTCCAAATCCCGTGATGACAATATCTGTCTCCGAATCTGTGACCCCCCGGCACCACTTTCAGGATCGACGGTGCCTCAGACCCAGACAGAGGTCCAAATAATTCTGTTAGTAGTTACGAGATGGTGGCCGACAGTAACACATTCGGACTGAAGGTCGACCACGCTCTGGATGGAAGTCTGAGCGTGAAGCTGATTGTACGAGAATCTCTTGATCGTGAGAGAAGAAGCCGCTACAAACTCACTGTCATTGCTAAAGACGGAGGTAGGCCGCCTCTCTCGGGAAATCTTACCTTGTATGTCAATGTGACCGATATAAATGACAATGTCCCTGCGTTCTCTGAAAATGTGTACGACTTCACTGTAACGGAAAACAGCCCTGTGAGATCAATATTCGGACGAGTTCTGGCCAGGGATAAAGACACTGGTCTCAATGGTAATGTGTCTTACCGATTTAGTCCACACAAGTCCAGCAAAATTCCGCAGCTGTTCGCCCTAAATAGTCGAACAGGAGACATTAGCGTGAGAAACCCTTTACAGTATGAATCTGGTAACAGTTTTGAAACTGTTATTGAAGCTATGGATAACGGTGATACAGTGCAAGTGTCCCAAGCAATTTTGATCATTCGGATACAAGATGTCGGTAACAACCCACCCAAGATTACAATGAATTCGGTGTCTCCTGGAATTCATGGCACCGTTTTGGTGTCCGAGGGGATGTCTGTCGGTACCGTGGTGGCCCACATCAGGGTGGTTGACAACGACAAGGGGAGGAATGGAGCTGTGGACTGCCGCAGCCTCAACCCGTTCTTCGTGGTGCAGGTAATGCCGGGTCGAGGGTATAACGTTCAGCTGAAGAAGAAACTTGACAGGGAGAAGAAAGTTAAACACAATCTGACTGTGGTGTGTGAGGACAATGGAAGACCCAGGATGGCTACATCTGCCAGTATGAGTCTGGAAGTCACTGACATTAATGATAACCCTCCCGTCTTCACCAACAAAACGTATTATGCCAACATCACCGAGAACAACCGCGTTGGTGCTGTCGTTACCCGTATAATGGCCACCGATCGTGACACAGGACAGAACGCTTTGATGCTGTACTTCATGAGTCTTGAAAGCGATTCCATGTTTAGAATTGACCACCAAACCGGTGACATCACCGCAGACGCTGTCTTCGACAGAGAGACACTCTCGCAAATGACCTTCACCGTGAAGGCTGTCGATGAAGGGGAAACGTCGATGTCAGGAACGGCAACGGTCATTGTTACGGTTTTGGATCAGAACGACAACCAACCTTACCTTGACCCATCGAACCTTGTCTTCAATGTATCCGAGGACCGACCAACAGGAACCAAAGTTGGTCAGCTGACTTCCAAGGATAGAGACGTCGGGATTAATGCTCGCACTGAATATCTAATGCTAGTTAGAGGAGATTTACCTCCGTTTGTTGTGTTTTCTGACGGAGTGATACGAACCCACAGACGGCTGAACAGGACACTGAAAGATCGGTACGAATTTGACGTTTTGGTTAAGGACGGTGGAAAACCGTCTTTAAACAGTACCGGACGTGTGTATGTCAATGTTGTTGACTCTAATGACCACAGCCCCATCATCCTATTCCCCAACGAGAGAAACAACACTGTCCTCATTGCCTCTGACACACATCCGGGAACCGTCATTTCTGAAGTTACTGCTGTGGATTACGACCAAGGAATCAATGGACAAATGTCGTATTTCATATCTGTTGCAAATAAGGACAATCCATTTCATATAAACACCCGCTCGGGTAAGATTGTCTTGGCGAGACAGCTTCGCCCCACTGACCAAGAGTTCTACAAGATCACAATATCAGTTCAGGATCACGGCATGCCCCAGCAGGAATCTCAGACAAAGATGATCATTAAGATTGTGTATTACAACACCACATTGGCCGCATCAGTAGGAGACAATGACATAAAATACATCATCATAGCAGGTGCGGTCGGAGGGGTGACTGTTATTCTGTCTATCATAATTGTTATCATAATCTTGCACATCAAACGTGCCGACTCCAGGCGTCGAAATGGGAGCTCAATAGCTATTCAGGAACAGGGGGACGGGAGGCCCTTTGATAAACAGCTCTGGCATAGCGTCCCGGGGGAGGAAGAGAGTTCTGGTAGTGCTGATGACACTGAGAAGAACATTGATAAGATACTGAAGGGGAAGATGGGCAACAAAACAAGTTTCTCCTTCGACAGTGGGGCCGAACTTGATGACCCTTATCTGAAGAAACTTACGTCAGATCAATATGGCGGCCAGCAGTTTTATACCTTCAGGAAGGTGAGTCTCGAAAACGGCGTCATCATAAATATGATTTTTGACATGACGGGCCCTTTTACTACCCCAAACATATTCAGGGACTTTTTTCAAAGAGAATCTGACTCTGCAAGTAGCATTACGTCGCCGTGTACTGATGCAAGCGATATTATTCTTAGAATATGAACCCATCATGTTCACTAGTGCTGTCTTCAGTTGGATAAAATACGAAGCTGTTGCTAGAGGTAAGCGTAAGTGCATTGTATGTTAGTATACGTAGCTTCATATTAGCCCTTGCACCCCAATCCTCCATCACTAACAACTAACATGGCATCGCGTTAGCATTATTAACCAAATATTAACAAACTAGTCGAGACTAAATATATCCCTGCTACATGCATGACGGTGTGTTATATAGGAATGCACGCTTTTAGATGATTAGCCGTCCTTATATATCCCAAAGATAAACATCTTTAATTTCAAAGTCACATTGTAAGAACCAGTCGATTGGTTTTCAATATTTGGCTTGAAAACAAGCTCCTAAATTCCCCCCAAAATGTCAGGGCTGACATGGAATTCTCTTCTTGCCGCAACTTTATTAAACATTTAAAAAACACGCAGAACCATAAAGCCGGGGCGATTAGACAAGATGTAAAAAGCGCCTGGTTTGAAATTTGAGTAAAGAAATAACGTGAAATTGAATTAGAGATTTTAGGGTTTCGCAACAGAACTATCTTATCGTGGAGGTTTTCGCAGAGCTTTGTCCTGATACCGACCCTCACCGGAGTGGCTCTGCCGTACTTAATAAAACGCATCTTCAAAAGGATTCCCTTGAAATAATAGCCGGTCATGGCGTTGAAATTCGAAAGCCTATAAATCCCTGGTCTGAACCGCGTTGTGATACCCAGGGGAACCGTCACGACGGAGCTCAGGGTGCAGCAAAAAGGGTTCCCAATCATTTCAGGAACAATTGCTGCTTCTTTCCGATAACATGCTTGTCCTATTTTGAGAAGTAATCAAAGCATGTATTTGACGACAAAACACGATGTATAAGTAAGGCATAAACACCATAATAGAGAGTTTTGCTGATGATGTTAATTTCTGTGACCTTTCCACGCCAACTTCAGATTTGACTTTTGGAAAATACTATGTAATGCATTATTGCTTAAGCAGTTGTTGCAGAGAAGTTTCAACTCTGAGTAGGTGAAAAACGTACTTATCTAAAGTATACCGGGGTGATATATCAATTTAGACATGTGCAATGTATTGTGTCTTGCAAAAGAGTAGGTGAAATGTCACATTTGAATAATCATTTCGTGTTGTCCATCGGCTTTCTGTAGACTCTGGGTGAAGAAAACATCTGAAAGAACCCGTGTAAAAGACCCGTTTTCAATGTTATAGCGACAGAGATATATTAACAGAAATAAAGCCCACAAAAATATGCCTTGGTTTTACGCACTGGCATAAGTAAGAAATATTTCGCGAAACTATATGTTCTCAGTTCATCACATGTTTATCACAAGAAAATGAAGTTTTTGAACAACCATTACTTAAATTGTGTTCAGAGAAGGTCTGTTTGCTTGAAGTGATACGGCATTTGGTCAACAAACTTTGACCGCTCAATCAGCGACATCTGTCACTCTCCGGAGTGACCACCTCGGGCACTGACTTGTTAAATGGACATTTGGAAGCCCTAAGGTGTTTGTCCAATACTAACACTCCTGGCCACTGTCAATTTGAAAGATCTGATTTCTTCCTTGAAGAATGTTATGGGTTTTAGTTGCCTGCTCGAAGCCATGGCCAGGAAATTAAAACAGAAATCACATACGTTTGTTTATACTCTGATCGCACAAATATTAATCTTTGACCGCCATCGCGCCTATGGGACTTCCGGTTGCTCCGCAGCGAAGCATTTGAAACATACGGGCTCTTGACTTCACCTTGGTGACATGTGCAAAGGATAAATTTTACTTGCTACTTCCTGCAACGAGACGCCTATCGGTACCTCTCTGTTACGTTCAAAACCATTATTATCTCTGGAGGATCTCACACTTAAACATATGCTAGAGGCGACCTCTCACAGATCGAAGTAAGAAGCCCTCGTGCCTTGGCCGGGATCAAAGTATCGTCCCCTTCCCTATCACTCATTAGTAGCTCGCTACCGGGGACTATTGTATTGTAACGAATTCCAAGGGAACTAATTAAGATGAATACTGCGAAAAGCTGAAACTGTTTTTGCGTGCCATTGTCAATAGGCTGACGGCGACACCCGATTACAACTTCTACAATGGGCGCCCATGTTGCTCAATAGCACTGGTGCAATAAAAATAGAATTTTACGGTTCGCCTGTGGTGGATTGTTAAAAATATAGACCGTGTTTTTGGCTTCCATATTCAATTCGCTGATTGATCCAATTGGTATATATGCTACAGTGAACGCTTTACGAGGAATACATTTTATTGCACGGCCATGTGATCAATTTTCAGCAATCAGGAAAATACTTTTAAAGGTGTTTCTGCGCGAATTCCTGTTTTATTCAGTAGCTCTGGATGATACTAATGGGCACACAGATCTGTAACGGATACATATATTTTTCTTTGATCTGTCATAGCACTTAGAATACTTATATCGAGATTTTTTATAACAAAGGGCTTTATTGCTACAACGAAACTATCGGAGTATGAGCTGTTGGAATATTTCCATTATAATTTCAGTTTTTATATATTCATGACGAGACTGAATGAGATAAACTAATGTAAATTTAGGATTTACCAGTGGAAACCACATTTCAGTCAGACGATATCTTGTATAGCGCCATAAAGTAAACCCTTAAAGTGGTATTTATGCGCACACGGAGCTGTTCAACGATAGAATGATCAATAGAGAGCTTTTACGTGTATATTGAAACTTGCATTATGTATTGTTTTGAATTACCCTTAAGTGGGTTCTAGAACAAGATGGAAGGCGTTTTCCCAACGAATGGCCATAAACATATACGTGATGTCTGCAGATATTTGGTTAAAGTGAATTCGGATAATATGTGTTACAGGCATGTCACATGTGTAAAATTGGTGAGATTGTCACTCAAGAGGGGATGTGTAAAGAGTACACAAACACGCACACACACACACACACACACACACACACACACACACACACACACACACACACACAGAGTGAGAGAGAGTGAGTGAGAGAGAGAGAGAGAGAGAGAGAGAGAGAGAGAGAGAGAGAGAGAGAGAGAGTGTGAGAGAGAGAGAGAGTGTGTGTGTGTAATTCATACAAACATACATACATGGGGGAGTTTTAATTAGTCTGTGGGGATGTTTAAGCCCTTTTGGAGTCATTTAGTCAGTCTGTCAAGGAAGTACACAGATGTTTAGTCAGTTCATAAATTGACTGGATTATTTAAGCAGTTTAGACATTGCCTAGATGAATCACATTTTACACATTAACATTAACATAGACGAGGGTTAAAAATCGAAAGAACATTACATACCAAATATAGTTGTTTTCTGTGTAATATATTTAAGCAATATTCGATAACTATCATGAAAAAAAGACATTTGTCAATGTAGAAAAACCCAGGCCATGGGTGCGAGGGAATTATATTAAGTCCAAATTCGATTGCTAGCGGTTCCTGGTATAAGAGAACATGCTTTAAGACGCACCCGTTGGAAGGCTGCATGTCTTTGTAACTGCCGCGGGTGCTTACCGATGACCAAGATCACGAAGAGGTTTATCGACCAAATCTCGTGATAACCAATCTAATCATTGGCCGATTACCTTGGATTAGCTGCTTCAGAATAGTGCTAAGTATGTCGGGTCTTCACAAGGCGTCATCAAAAGAGCTGCAGATCATATTCGAGACACTAAAACTGCAGTCAATATGAAAAGCATACACGTTCTTTGATCATGCTCCATCGTGGGCCGTTAGCTAAAAAATATGCATGGAATATAACTATACGCGCTTTTTTCCTACACAATACTAAGATCCCCGCTAAAAGCCAAGCAATGTCTTTATTCTCATATTAGTTATTTCCCGATTCCAACCTTCGATTTTCTCACTGGTATCTAGCACTAATCATGTCGTTAATATCTTTATAGCTGGTGTCAGAGGCTTTGCGTTATAAATGACCTTATCTGGCTGTAGACAAGCGTGATTGTTAGCGTTTTATCCGAGTTTTACTGGCTCTTGGGTAGCACCTGATCCGTGTTAAGGTGACTCGACTCATTATGGTTGTGAATTACCGCGTCAACCGCTCGGCCGAATTCTAATACCCAGAACGAAAAGGAAAAAGGACGTTGGTTTTACTTAAAGCAAATACGGTACTTAACGTCATAATGGCAGATTCGTATGACTTTTGGGGGCTTGTAGTGTCTGGAGTGCTAAAATTACAAGTTTAATACATGACGGGATGGCAGTGTCATGAAATGCTGTTGAAGACACCACGCTTGCAGTGTCTCGTTCTTAGACGGGCTGCAGATATCCGAACCTATGTCCACAACAATCTTATCAAAGGGTTTTTAAACGCATTTGTCATAAAAGTAGTAATGGCGAGACATGCCAGTTTTGTCACTACTTGTTTTAAAGGAACAATGTCGCTTCCACGCTCTTCTCTGTTGGTGATCATTAAATGTCTGTTTCTCGATTCGGCGAGGTACTAAGCAGTAAACTAGATGCATGGTCGCGGAGACGTAAAGAAAAGAAATTGGTCTTCTTTGATGCAAACGTCTAATGTCTCTCTAGCGGTCAAGGCTAACGTGGGCCGTCAATGTGGACTTCATTCCACCTATAACGTGTAAGCATCTTAGATGTGTGTTAATGTTCAAAGAATGCAGCTTTCTTTATGTATACGCTATATCGTGGGTGATCCATGCCACAAAGGCCAAGATTAAAGATGACCACCCAAATCTTCTGAGCTTCGGAATGTATCACGCGTGATTCGTAAATCCTATATGATTTATTTGTATATCTCGGACAATAAGCTTTTGGCACGGGGATGTGCTAGGTGTTTTGAAGC